TATATAAAGCACCAGCCCACAGACTGAAGGGTCCCAGGGTCGATTCCGGTCAAGGATATGTACCTCAGTTGCAGGCTCCATCCCCGGCCCTAGTCAGGGCACGTGCAGGAGGCAACCAATGGATCTCTCTCTCTCTCTCCCTCCCTTCCACTGTCTCTAAAAATCAATGGAAAAATATCCTCAGGTGAGGATTAACAAAAAAATAAAAATAAAAGGAAAGAGCACATGGGGAAAGGAGAGGGGATTAAGACTAAATGGACATGGTAATGTTAGATTTTGTTTTAACTTATTTAAAAATATTTTCAATACTATTGTAAAATATAAAGAAGATATATTACACAGTTTACATACCTGCTTTCTTGTTCATCTCTAGAGCATTTCTATCATCTTGATTTTATCTCTGAGAAGCTAGAGACAGCCCCTCTCTCTGTTTCTGTCTCTTACTGTCTTACACACGCACACACATAGACATGCACACAAACACACAACATTTATATTTGTAAACCCAGATCTTACGGTTTTTGCTCTGATGAAATTACTTGTTTTTAAGTTTTATTTTTCAAAAAGGGTCAAAAGAGAGTGGTAAGCACTTTTGCACACAGGATTTGTGATAAACAGGATTTTCAAAGTGGAAAAGTTGAGAGTAGAATATATTCCAATGAACACAAATGCAGTATGATACAGTACAACAAATACTTCCCATTCCCTAGTGGGGAATGTAAGCACTGTCCAGTATGAGGTAGAACCAACATTTCAAAAGCCTGGCAGAAGAAAATTTGGGGTTCTAAAGAGCCGTACGGTAAGGAGACCACGTTTATTATTGAAGCAAGTATCCTGATGTGATATATAAATTGTGGCAGCTAGAAGCGCCTTGCAAAGTGCTGATCGTAGGTAGAGTATCAGAGAAATGCTTCCAGTGTGTGACACAGCTGAGATGGGGAGAGGAAGAAACTGCCCAGAAAACAGAAAAAATAACAACAGGATTCGGGAGTGGCAGTGATGCGACAGGAAGAAAGCCTTGGAATTAGAACAACTAGCCTTGAAAAAAGGAGGAGCATGTTGTCTTTCCTCATTTAAAAAAAATCTTAATATTCAAAATAGGCAATTTCAGTTCCCAGTGCTCCCTTCTCCTCCGATACCCATGCCCCGTGCTCAGCTCAGCTGGCGGTGGGAGCCCTTGATGTCGGGCTCCCTGCGGGGCCAGGTGCTGCTCATTGAGAATCTGGCCTCGCTCTGAGCACAATGATCAGGACGGCAGCCAGGTGGACGGGCTGCAGAGCGCCTTGGGCTCGGGCTGGGTTGGCTTCAGGTGTAACTAGTCCGTGCATCAGGAGAACGCCAAGAACGAGCGATGCGTCAGACCTTGTGGCGGGTTTAAGCCCACCCTCACACTCTTGGAGAAGTGCAAGGTGAAGGGCAGCGCGCAGGCGCACCCTCTCTTCGTCTTCCTGCGGGATGCTCTGCCCGCACCCACTGCGCTCCTAAAGGACCCCAAGTTCATCACCTGGTCTCAGGTAGGCTGCTATGATGTCGCCTGGAACTTCCAGAAGTTCCTGGTGGCCCTGTGCGCAGGTACAGCCGCTGCTTTCCGACCATTGACATGGAAACCCTGCTGACCAAGGGGCTCAGCAGTGCCTAGGGCACCCCACCCCCTTACCCCACCCTCCTGCTTGGCAGTCATAGCGCTGCCATGTGGGGGTTTTATCCATGACGGTGTTTCCGCTAAACCTGCATGGGGGAATGCCTGATGTCCAGCTAAATCCCCCCACATGGGCCCTGGTCCTGTCCATCCCAGCCTTCCCCTCCTACACCATGGCTTTTCCAATAAACTGTCTGGTGTCAGAAAAAAAAAAAAGAGGCAATCTCAGTACCTGCAGGCATTTTATAAATGAATTCATTTAATGTTTCTGCTGGCTTCCTCATTCATTATGTATCTATTCATTCAGAAAATGTTTATCGAGCACCTATTATGAATGCTGCCTGCATACCCGATGTTAGAAAGGGAATTCCAAGGAAAATGAGACGTGGCTTCTGCCCTCAGCTCAGTCCAGTGGGGACGATGGGCACCTGCACAGATGACTGATTTAGATGCTTAAGGGGGGACAGTTGGAGGTGGCATTTCAGGGTTTTAGCATGGTAGTGAGGTCGTCAAAGTTGCAAAGGAGGGAGGCCTGGGAACAGATGGAAGATTTAGTGGATCAGGGAGGGGGCGGTAGGTGGTATTTATCAAGTAGCAGTGTGGATCGTGGAAGCTAAGAGTTCCACTCTGTGTCCTGGGCCAGATTATCTTCTCTGAGAAATGCTAATGGGGACTGTTTGGCGTTGTGCAAAAGCCCTGGCCATTGCTTGCACTATGGTTCTCTACTAACCTGCCATAAATATGTGCCCATACAACAGCAAAAATATCTACCTATTTGAGAATTGTTAAATAAATTACAGACTATGGAAATTGATTAAAGATATTAAGAAACATAGTGCCCAGCCAGTGTGGCTCAGTGGTTGAGCATCTGTCTATGAACCAGGAGGTCATGGTTCGATTCCACTCAGGGCACATGCCCAGCTGGGGGCTCCATCCCAATGGGTGGCGTGCAGGAGCCAGTCAATCAATGATTCACTCTCATCATTGATGTTTCTGTCTTTCCCTCTCTCTTCCTCTCTGAAATCAATAAAAATGTTTGTTTTGTTTTTTAAAGAAACGTGTTTATATATTTGGTTGAAGATAGGGAAAGATTCAAGGTAGGATCTCATGTATGTGCATACATGTATATGTACCTCTCGGATAAGCAGCATGGAAGGACAGCAGTGAGAGAGAAGTGAAGGTAGAGAAAGGGAGACGAGACAAGAGAACCTCTCAATTTTTATTCTTTGCTTTTCTATATGGTTCAAATTTTACAACATCCATGGACTTTGTTTTGTAACTTAAATAAGATGAAATAATACCCACTCAGCCCTGAGCACAGCCTCTGCCATCTGGCCAGCAATAATGACTCTCTTAAATGGCAAGAAAACATGACTTGCACAAAATGATTTAAATCCGTATGTACCATTATATTAATGGTTACAAATGTTTTCTCTCTCTGATAAAATGGGACGAGGTAAATGTCTTAAATTATGGTCCATAGAGTTTAGTTTCAACATGTGTTCTGCTTTTTCAGTCATTTAGAATTTAATTATTCAAAGCTAAGTTTGAAACAAGGAGCTTTATAAATCTAGATAACAACAGACTTTACTTAAGCACTAAAAATTTTCCATCAATCATTTTGGTTTTATCTTTATAATATTAAACTTTAGAAATACTTAACATTCAGACGTCATTGTTGGCTAGCATTGAACAACAAGGCCAAATATTTTCTTTTATGAAATTCCATTCCACAATAACCAATCGATAAGTATTCAGTAAACTGAGTTTCAGTTTAATTTCGTGGAGCTTTTTATTTATAATGAATTTCAAAGACACTGTAAGTTAGATCATCTTAATTATATACATTTAGTCATTTTTGTTTTTATGTAAAGTTATGAATAAATTGAATTAAAAATCAAATTATTTTTTGAAATGTACTGAGAACCTCTGTGAAAACTTTTCAGATGAGTTTCTTTGTAATAAAATGAGTCATTTATAATTTGAGTTAACATTTTCACATTTATCTTGAGGGTAAATTGAGCCTTTCAGAGACTGGATTTTCCTAAAGACACTATTGTGTCAAAGACATGATAGGACAAATTTTGATCAAGAATATCAAAACTTCAAAAGCTATTTCTTTTTTGTATGCTGATTGTATTAAAAAGTCTTAAAACCTTTGTTCTTTATTTTTACTGGGTTGACATCTGTCAAAAATATTCTTTTATTTCTTTTTCTTTATTTTTTAATTGAACTTATTGAGTGACATTGGTTAACAAAATTATACAGGTTTAAGGAGACTTGACTTGGGGTGGTAAACATAATACAATATACAGATAATGCATTGTAGAATTGTATACTGGAAAAACATTTTTTCTATTAAAAGTAATACAAAATACCTATATTTTCTTATTTTTTAGATCCATATATTTTTTAAGTTTGAATATTCCTAAAATATATTTAATATGAGAGTGTCCTCTATCCCCATTTCTAACCCCAGTGTCCTGAGAAGCTGATTTAAATATATTGTGTCTTAGAATTGATGAACTTGGAGACTTTATATTAAAGTTATAGGGTAAAATTGAGGTATGTCTCTGAGTGATTAACTTCTAACAGCCCTCCAGCAAGGGGCGGGGAGGGGACAGCAAAAGTGAATCATCACAAATACTTGATTCTCTGGTCCATCCAGCTGAGGCAACTGGAGACTCACTGAAAACTCGATAACATTAGTAGTTCCATAGATTCCCCCCCCCCCTTCTCTCCTAAGTTAAGCTTTTTATTTTGAGATAATTATAGATTTACATGTAATTCAGATGTAAGAAATAATACAGGGAGATCTCATGTACCTTTTATTCAGTTTTCCCAATGATAACATTTTGGTAAAACTGTAGCATATTAGCACAACTAGAATATTGATAGTGACATAATTCATCAAACTTATTTCAGTTTTTTCAGTTTGATGTGTGTGTGTGTGTGTGGGGGGGGGGTGTTTCTAGTGAGTTCTATATCATTTGATCACGTGTGCAGGTACCTGTGTCCACTACCACAGTCAAGACAGACATTTCCATCACCACAGGATACCTTGTGTTGCCCCATTATAACCACACCCTCCTCCTCCCGTAAACTTTTCACAGATTGGGATGGCAGCATATTTCCTAGCTATTTTTTGGGAAGTAACTGGTTTGTTCTTTTCCCCTTGTGAATGTCTGCAAGTAAATAATACAAAGAAGTGAATGCTGAGTGTCCACTGTTCTTCTTTGTGCACCTTCCTGTTGCCTGGCAAAGGAACCAACAACAGGGCAGAGGGCTGCCTCGGGTGGGCAGCATTTCTAACTCTCTGGAGGAACAGAACCAAATCTAACACCCTTTTTTCCACTCCCAGATTACGCTCGATTTGAGGCCAAAATCCATGACCTACGAGAGCAGATGATGAACCACAGCATGAGCTCCGGGTCCGGGTCCCTGCGAACCAATCAGAAACGCTCCCTCTATGTCAGGTAGGCAACCTAGCATTTCTTACTGTGATCTGCACCTTGTGAGCAATCTGGCTTGGCGAGACAAAGGCAATGGATCATGTGTTCTTATTAACCCATGCTCACCAATACACCACTGTAAGACCTTAAGTTTAACCATTGTTTGAAGAAATTTCCGAAAAGCTATTATGTTAAATTAACAAGTTATTCTTTTAACACATTATTCTTAGACTATGTTATGATCCAGAGTAAAGTTCTTGGCATAGGTTGCAGTAAAAATAATGAGAAAAAACATTTTTAATTTTGATAAATTGAATATGTGGACCAATGCTCTGGACATTTGCTCACCTTCAGTATGGGAAGTAAGCATTCTGGAATCATCTCCAGACCTGTGTGGTATCTACTGCATTAACTTTGGTGTATTGATTTGACATCAGACATAGTCTTGTATATAGAGTTATGTGTTTGTCCCTAACGAATTTTGGTGGAAAGACTGTCTTCTGTGGCATCTTATTACCAATCATTTCTTAGACCACATAAGTCACTTATTCCTTGCCTTACAAAACTCATTAATTTACCAGAAAAAAAAATTGATGGAACTTTAAATGCCTTCTGGTCTTTCATCCTCATAGTTCACTCGAGTAAGATCCATCCTCACTCAACTATAACATGTGCTTCTTCTTAGCACAAGTCTCCTGTATTCCTTTCAAAATGTACTTCAATAGTGCTAACTGTATTTTTTAAAATAATAAATGTATTAATAGCCAAAAGGGGAAGATGGTGCCTAATTCATGGCCCCAATGAATCCAGGTTCCAATGGAAGAACCATGTCTGTCCCTCCTCACTGTATTCTCCTCTTGCCAATCTGCCCCAGAATCTGGTCTGACTCCCACCTAAGGTCATAGTCTCCTCAGTTGAAATTTTACTGTCTTTTCCGGGCATGGAGTGTGTGTGTTACAGACACTAAATTATGTACTTGAATTGATTTTTTCCTGTTGACTCCACTTTGGCTATAAAGTTATCTCTTGTGTGTACTAGGTAGGCACAGCAGGGCCAAGGAGGGAGCAGGACTCCGGAAGGCGGCAGGTTCTCGAGGGCCTCGAGTTGCTGGCCACTCTGACAAGCATAGAGTCCCTTCTTATCCAGGCAGTTCCAGTACCTCAGAAGCCCTGAGATTTTAAATTTTTTAAAGTCAGAATATTAATGTTCTATATTTGTCCAACTGCATTTTGGAAGATTATTTGATATGCTTCTGTGTAATCTGTGGAAGGAACTATTGAGAACCACCCTAGAACGTGTCTTTTAGTGACATCACAAATATGATGGAAAGTGGCTATCTCTGTTCTCCTCACTTGTGTTTTATTGCTGGTCTTTGTGATACCAAATATTTTTTAAATTTCGAAATGTTTTGGTCTTGGGTAGCAACTTAAAAAAGCCAATTAGGCTAATGGGTTAGAGATAAATCAGTTAATAGAAATGAAACGATTATATAGAATAAATCTGGAAGGAAAAATTACTGTAGTGTGGGTATCTTGTTAAAAAATAGAATGCACAAAATGTGAATGTACTAGAATAAATTTTCTGAAAATATTGATGATAGTTTAGTCCTTTTAATTAAGTTGTAGATTAGGAAAATTAAATGACTTGTTATGATATTACATAGACTTATTTGAAAAAGTAGTGTTAATCAGAATCAACCCTTTATTCTCTAATGTGGTCATTAAAACGGTGACATACAAAAGATCTGAAGACTTCAGGTAATGTTATCTTGTTAACATTCTAATAGTTGGAGGTTGTATTGAAAGGAGAAACTGCTTTTAAATAAAGCTCAAAACTAGTGAACACTTCATGGGAAATTCTCCAAATGATTTCTCTACAATATACAGAAATGGTATTTGGTTTCCAGGGTTCGATTATTAATACGTATTTTGTCTGTAGAGGGCTGACTGCAGCATCTAGATGACTCCTAGGGGCATAGAATTGGCCCTAAGTTTAACCTTAAGTTTAACCATTTTTTGAAGAGATTTCCGAAAAGCTATTATGTTAAATTAACAAGTTATTCTTTTAAAACATTATTCTTAGACTATGTTATGATCCAGAGTAAAGTTCTTGGCATAGGTTGCAGTAAAAATAATGCATAATACAGGCTATGCACAGAGTGAAAATCAGAGGGAAAACCAGCGTCCCCTGGCCTTATTTCCATGTGAGGTGACAAAAACAGAGTCCCTCACCCCTGCCCACCCCGAAACAGGCAATGAAAGTAAAGGAACTAGCAGGGAAGGCCTATGGGGAATTCTTACTAAAAATGATTGGGTAAGTTCGTACCTTTGTTGTTTGGGTTTTGTTTTTTGTTTTTTTTAACACCATTTTTGGCTATAGGATTTTTAAAGAGATGCTTGCTTTTTTTCTAGAGTGCTTGCATAGGACTAGTGCCCGTTGGTTATGCTTATTTTATAAAACCAACTAGTTGCTTTCTCAAAATAAATGAGTAGCAGGGCTTCTCTGATTATATAACTGTCAGATAATGAGCATGTCCCTTTGATCTTCTAATGACATCCTTTATTCTGTTTAGCTGTATTAATTCTAGAGCTGGAAGGAACCTTAGCTATCGCCAGGTCTAATGCTTAATTTACAGAAGAGGAAACTTGAGGCCCCAGGAAGGAAGAGATTTGCCCAGGACCCCACAGCTATGTGGTGGCAGAGTCAGATCTCCACCCCCCTCTCCCCATGGCTCTCTGCCTCCCAGGGGCTCAGCTGAGGTGGGTGGAGCCAGCTGTTGAATGCATCTCTGCTGTGCTTCCCCGTCTGCTCCTGTAAACACTGCACCTGACCCTTAGATTAGGAATAGGTTAGCTGAGAAGAGAAATTCAAACATAATCTCTTTGGGGTTTTTGCAGAGGATAAACTGTGCCACTGGGCCTTTGGGATTCCTTTAGTGTTTTTCATATTTTTCTATGAAGCAAAACCTAAATCGGAAAGCAGCAGCCTCTTTGTTTAGTTATAAACAATTAAGCTGACTGAACAGAATATTTATCTTCCCCCTTGTAGTGTTCTCTCTCTCTCTTTCCCTCTCTCTCTCTCTCTCTCTCTCTCTCTCTCTCTCTCTCTCTCTCTCTCTCACACACACACACACACACACACCCCTGCCCTGGCTGTGCCCAGGAGGAGGCATCTTCGCAGGATCATGCAGAAACCCGCCTCCTTCTATAGAAATGATCCTCCCAGGTGATAGCAATTTGTTTGGCTGAAAGTGTTGAGCAGGGGAGAGGGGGGCAGGAACTACCACATCTGAGCCAGGCAGGGTTTTAAACTTGAGCCAACCCACTCTGTTTTCCAATCTAGTTGTAACTATTTTCCTTCTCTTAATCTTCTGTGTAAGGTGCTTGAAGTGCTTTGGTAGCGCTGTACGCATGGAGTTGCTTGTTGCTAATGATAAGACTGTGCATGTTCTATGCGAATGACTTGGAAACATTCAATTTCATGGGCTATTTATACTGTGTATTTCCTGCATTGTGAAACACCTCTAGTTGTAGAACCTTGAAAGTAAATAAAATGTTAAAAATTTTGAATAAAATATTTTTCAAAATGCTCCACAAGTACATTATCAATTCTTCAGACATAGATGCACCTGGGCTCTGGCGCCACAGGGATACAGCTTTTGTTGTGTGAACTTCAAGGCTCTCCACAAGCCTATTATCATATGCACTCCCCTCTTTCCCTCCCAGCTGGTAGAAGCATCCCTATAACAGAACAAGGCTTTTCCTGCTGCTGGTAGGAATGGGCCTTTGTATCTAAATGCTACTAAGAACGGTCAGGTATAAGGGGATTAAAATCACATAAAAGTGCAAATTGCTAAGGAAAGATTCTCCTGATAAAAGAGAGCTCAATAACCTGTGACAAGGGAAGAGAATGGGGAGGGGAAGAAAGAAAAGCAGGTAAGTCTTCCAGTGGGGAATAAAAGGTCACAGGAAAGACTGTAAAAGTGAAACTTGGCCCATGTCCATGTCTTAATAAAAGGTATTGATTTGGAGAGTTCAAGTGAATAACCCCTCTGTTGTGAATTTGCTTTTAAAAGGCAGTTGCTATGATTTATTTATGTATTCATCAAGCACTTTTTTGAGTATATATTCTGAGCCAGGACTTACAATGGACACTGAGGACCTAGCAGTTAAAGTCGTGTTTCCTGCCGGGGAAAAAAAAAATCTCATCTAGTGAGTGAGACAGGTGAGGGGAAGACAGTTACAGTGCAGTGTGATATGAAAAGCAAGCTCTAGAAAGGCCTGGAATTTTTATTGCTTCCTAATTAATGCAAGGATATCTGAATTGATTCTTTGCGATCTTAGATGAGTTCACCCAGAGACCTTTAAGTGTTTTTACTCAAAGTAAGAAATACATTCTTCATCATCATGACCCAGTAAATACATGTACCATACACATAATGCTAAAAGAAATGGTTTTATTAAACTATTAATACTTTTTATGTACCATGTTCTTTGTTATTTCCCATTCTATTTGCCTCCTTTTTAAATAACAAATGAAGGTCACATCTCATTAACTTGACTTAATAACTCAGGGATGGATCACTATCTACAGCGTGTAGATGAGTGAACAAGGAGGAGTGTTCCAGGCAGATGGCACAACTACAGGGTCATCTTCACTGCAGCACACTTAGCATCTCTGGGATCCCCAGACCCTTGGTGTTCTAGCCAATTTGGGAGCCAGTTATCCCTGGAACAGATCAGTAAGTGGAAGTGAAGGGACGCATTGGTTGGGCATCTTCTATGGGTCAACCATTATGCTAGTGTTCTACATATATTTTCCCATGTGATTCTCCCAACAACTGGAAGAGTCAGGGACTATTTCTTCCGTTTTAGAGACAAAGAAACTGAGACTCAGTAACATTAAATAATTGCCTTAAAATCACCGAGCTAGACTGGATGTGAGCATAGACATTCAGGTCCTGTGTGTGAGGCAACATAGAGCAGTGTTAAGAACACGTTTCCTGGATTCTGTCACTTAGTAGCTCAGTGATTTTGGGCAAGTCGGTCCCTCTGCCTTAGCTTCTTTTTCTGTGAAATGAGAATAATAGTAAGATAAAGCGGATGTGAGCATTAAATAAAATGGTGAATTTAAATACCTGGCACATGGGAAGCAACTGATATATGTTGGTGCTCTTTATCATTTATTATAAAGGCAACCTTTCCCCTTTAGCAAAGAGAGGTCCTAGAATTGATTCTGAAAAGAGCTGTTTCCTCAGTGGTGGGGTGAGACACCCTTGTCGCTTTGATCTCCTTCAGTGAGGGAAGGAGGACAGACTTCCTGGCAACCTTTTACATTTTTGTTCTTCTAGACTCCATGAAGGCTGAAGGGAAGGGCCAGAATTCTATGGCTCCAGAATGTCCAGCTTTGTCAGCTCATCCCCCATTAAAGTGTAACCAGAGAAAGGATTTGAAAAGTATTCAGCTGGAGACACAGATAAGAGTCACTGTGCTTATAACTGGCCCTTCCAGCTCTTTATAGATGTCATCAATGTCCCTAACCCCGTGATTTCACCCACTTCCCTCTGCATTCTTCACTCCCTCCAAGCCCCCTGCTCTGGATTTGAAGGCCTTCTTTCTTTTTCAAAGTGGTTCTAAGTCTACTTTAAGTTGGTAACTCAAAGTTGCTGCTTCCTAATACAGTTTTTGTTTCACAGGCTGTAATAGACCAGTGCACCTAGGTCTGCCTCCCGCCCATTGTTTAACATAGACTTTCAGACATTGATTCATTAGTACATTGGTGCTTTCATTCAACAAACATGGCCTATGTCCTTACCTACAAAGTGTCCGTCTGAGGTAGGTGTTAAGGATACAGAGATTTAAAAAACAAACACAGACCTCCTTCTGTCAGCATTCTGGTACTCCATATCTGTAAGCAATTCAAATAGTGTGCAGGTTATCTTTCTATCATTTCCTGATAGCTCATGTGTTATATACCTTGCAGTTATTTCCCTATTTTAATCTTTACAACATGCCTATAAGGGTTCCTACAGTGAAATCTGCCCAGAAGACCACTGTTATCTAAAGCTAATCTATAAAAAATAGTTATCATTCTGGTCTTTATTAAGGTTTTAATACTGGACTTGCAAACCTCAGTTAATGTCTCAATTTTATTTTATCCTTAATGTCTCATGCCATGGTGCTTGATGGAATGATGTCTTCTTAATAAATACTTGTTAAATGTATTCATTTCTAGACTCTCTTTCCTATATAGATGTGGAAAAATAGAATGTAAGTCAAGATCTTTGAGCGATTAATTCTATGAATGTTCAATACTAGCTGGGCTGCCACCAAGTGCAGGGAGTCTGGCCATGTCCTGAGGACACAGGCACTACCTACTGGTACTGGGATTTCCAGGACACATCTGGCTCTACATGGCCCTTCAGGCTGCTCTTAGAGAGAGGGCTTGGGATAGGGAGAAGCTCATCCTGTGTTTCCTTCTCAACACCCTTAGTCCCTTAGTCTTTTTTATTCTAAGGACATAAGGCTGGGAGTTACATTGAGGGAAATCTTGAAAATAAATTCAACCTAGATTCTTCATCCTGATGGGTTTTTATTCTAGAGGAAGAATATGCTCACCTGATTAATTTTGGTGGGAGGGGAAAGATACATCATCTTAAAAGAGACTCTGTTTTTGTTTTTATTTTTGTTTTTTTCCTTTAAACGGTATTATAGCCTTCCAATCCACTTTCTGCCCCCACTGCACTGCTGGTCAGTAACCCGGGAATGGTAGGAATGTGGAATGGAGCCTGTCAGGGGACTTCACTTCAGTACCAAGCTGCCTCCAACTTCACTTGGCTATGGGTTTCTCAAGGGCCTTTAAGACAAAGCCATGAAATCTGTGGACTTCTCATAAGTCAGATTTTTATCTTATTCCTCTTCAACCTTGGACCTAAGATGCTCTCAGCAGCTATTCCCAGAGGCCACAGCGCAGTCAGCTCTGTGCACCCATGGCCCACTACTTGGCAGAGGGCTGGCTGGCTGGCAATGGCCTTTTTAGTGCCTCTCATTCATTCACTCATATATTCTTGTTTAGCAAAATCACCATTTTTTTCATTCAGAAATACCATGCATTACCACAGAACAAGAAATAAAAACTGCTTGTATTCAGATGTCTTACCCCTCTTAAAATCTTACTGAGAGACGTGAGCAAATATCTGAAACAGTCTAACAGGATGAGGCAGAAAGTGGAGACTTGAGAGACCAGAAGAGATCTAGAGACGGCATTGAAATGTTTGGGTACCCAGAGCTTGTATGCCAGTGCTTCTCTCCTGGCTTCATTTAAACCGAAGTCAGTGCTATATATGATATAGGTGATTATTATCCCCATTCTACAGAGGAGGAACCTTATAGAAGGCCAAAGATATTTAAAAATTGCCCTAACCGGTTTGGCTCAGTGGATGGAGCGTCAGCCTGTGGATTCAAGGGTCCCGGGTTCAATTTCGGTCAAGAGCATGTTCCTTGGTTATGGGCACATCCCCAGTAGGAGGTGTGCAGGAGGCAGCTGATCGATGTTTCTCTCTCATCGATGTTTCTAGCTCTCTATCCCTCTCCCTTACTCTCTGTAAAAAAATCAATAAAATATATTTTTAAAAAGAAAATGTTAATTCTTTAAAAAAAATAAATAAATAAAAATAAAAATTACCTACACAAGGTGCAATGTGGCCAAGCCATATTCTTTACCCAGGTATGTTTCTCACTGAAGCCCATGCTCCTTGTACTATATACAGTACGGTGAAGACAAAGCTAATCCTCTAGGGCATTGGTTCTCAACCTTCCTAATGCCGCGGCCCTTTAATACAGTTCCTCATGTTGTGGTGACCCCCAATTTCATTGTTATAAATTGAACATAATTAAAGCATAGTGATTAATCACAAAAACAATATGTAATTATATATGTGTTTTCCGATGTTCTTAGGCGACCCCTGTGAAAGGGTCGTTTGACCCCCAAAGGGGTCGCAACCCACAGGTTGAGAACCACTGCTCTAGGGGCACAGGTTAAATTCATATTGATAGACCTGTTTTGTTTGGTTTATGCTTTATAGAGATGTCCTCCATAGGGACCTGGCTTCTGGTCTGGACTTCAAATCTTATTGATGGCTAATGCTTGAGCTTCTCATTTATAAAATGAACATAATATCTAGTTCACAGGCTTATTGTAAAGATTAGGTTAAACTAAGTCTGTCAAAGAGCCGACCAGATGGGACTTACTAGGTAAAGGGGAGATCCCGTACCTCTTTGAGTGCTCAGAGCCTGCCTCCCATGCTGGTGCCTCCCTTGAGGCAGAACAGATTTAGATTCCTCAGCTATACTTTGAGATTCATTAGCATTATGTTCACTCTTTCAGGCATTTGCACTTTTAATTGCATCTTAATTGTGGAATAAAGGGTCGTATCTTCAGGCAGCTAATTTTAAGCAAGAAATAGAAAGGAGGCGGAGTCCCTGGGGATCTGGGGAAGTTTTCTTTTCCCCCTGAAATTATAGGCTGG